AAATCAAAATTTAATTGAATTTTCGATGAAGAAAAATAAAAATTCATTCATTCATTGGGGCTATTTTGCTTCCACAAGATGTCTTCTTTCAGACTAGTGTAAAGAAACACCCAAAATACACATTTAAGTGTTTGTTTAATTGCACTTTATCTATTTGCATTTGTAGATATTTCAGTATCATCAGATATTGCAGTGCATATCTTTAAAGGCTGTTTTCTCAAAATGAGTTTTTAATTTATATTCTGAAGGTTTTTACAGAGAGGTTTGTTTTTACATAATTTGCCTGATTTCATGGAACATTATTTATAATAACTGTTAACATTATTTAAACGGTCTATTGACAGTATTTTCTGATTTATGGACAGATCATAGGGAAATTGAAAATCCCTTCTGCAAAAAGCTACATCTGACACAAAGCGAAACAAGAATTTTGAAAGTGGCTTTGTCCAGTATTCAGAGCTATCTTCTGGAAATGTATGCAAATTAGTGCATATTCAATTAGATAATGCATCATTTGCATATTTAATATTTTAGAAAACTTGCTTGCATTTAATTAGTATGTGCAACAATATGCGAATATTTCACATGACCACTATATTGCATGTTTAATTCAGCGTGTGCATCTATTTGTCATCACGGAAATAAAAATGGTCCTTTTTTGATCCAATTTTGTCTAAAAATACTTTTTAAGTCTAATCAAATAAGTCAAAAAAGAGATAATCGTATTTCTTCATCTTCATTCCTCACACTGGAAACGGAGTCATATTGAGTGCTTTGCATTGTGGGACACTATATGCATGACAGCAATAGTAAGACTAGTAATATGGTATTCCAGATGTTAAATATGTACTGTGCAAGATTCTGGATGTGCATCTCATTTCCTTTCCTCAAGGAAATGATGCCAGGATGATATCTGAGGACAGAGGGATCAAAACAAGACCCATTTATGAAAAAGCATATCCTTATTTCATGCATTGTGCACTGGCTGTATAATGCACATTTCAGCTAAATCAGTAGATCATCTGGGTATCCAATGCATACAAAAATACTGCAAAAGTATGAGTAGTGTGATGAAAATGCAGCCACACTCCTGCATTATGCAGCGTAATATCAATCCGCCTTCACTGTCACAGCACAGTTTGTACCAGACACACTCGCTCACATACAGAGCAGCTTAGCATTCCCATTGCATTAATAAAACCTTTACGTCGCTCCCAAATGAGATGGATTGGAGATGAAAAAGGAACTCTAGATTAAGACCAGCAGCCAATCTTCATAATGAAGGCCAGTCTGGTGTCGGCCACAACTCGCATCCAGCCGGGGCCATTCAAACCAGCTTATCTATGAAAACACCCCACACATCATCCTCTTCAGATCGGCCGCACACACATCTCTGGAAATAATCCTCTCAACTCAGGTTGATTTCAGCAGTGGGTCTTGAAGTACCATAAAGCTGCGGTGAATGGATTGGGGGCTCTTTGACACAATGGAGCAGTTCATGACATGAAAACAAATAGCTGGAGTCGGGATTTTGCTCTGCCGATAAGGAAATTATTTTTATTGACCTTTCTCTACGAGGATCCTCCCCATTCAATTAGACCATTGAATGAGCTGGACTTTGATAGATGTTAATCTACCGAATAAAGCACATCAAGATTCAGTGTCAGCCTCTCATTAGTATATATAACCTTATCAACAATCAGAGCATGCTGGTATGTGCATAAATCAGATCATGGTGTTAATGCAATAAATAGTGCACTTCTTTTATTAGGTACAATTAACAAAAAAAATGATCTGAAGTGGGAGTGCACATGCGCACCTGTGACGTCACAGAAATAGGAGAACGCATGAATATTTATGAAAACTCAAGATACAGATTTACATGTAATTTGTCTTTTTTAGAAAGCATTGCCGGACTGGATGGTAGAGAGGGGTGTGGTTGCTGATGGTTTCAGATGTAATGTACAGAATATCCAAAGAGTGCTCGGTTTTGTACAGTTTGATTAATAATATTATATTATTAGCAAAATACTTTATACATGTAGATATTTTAAATCTCCTTTGTTTATTGTATTTAATGATCTAAAATACTTCTCAGATGCCTTTAGTAAAATGAAAAATCAAAAGGCATTAAAACTGTTTGTTTGTATTATATAACTTGTAATTATATTTTTTCTATATTATTTTTTATTTTGTTTTATGATGTTTCTTGGAATGTTATGTTATACGTTTAGTCTGGAATTAACATGGTTCCATTGTGTTGAGCCTTCCATACCAGATCCTTTTTTGTATACTAATGCAATTTTGTTGTATTCAGATTTTGTACTTAATAAAAATAATTTTTATATATATATAAACAAAATTGCATTAGTTATAAAATAAAAAATATTTTTGCTTTTATACAATATAATTGTATTATATTATTTTATAATCAATATTATTGTTTTTTATATAAAAACATATTAGCATTATATGATCTGGATTTCAAATCTCTATTAGGCTTATTTGTTAATTTCCTAGTTATTGTTAATTTCCAAAACTGTTATAATAACGACTATAAATGTGCAAAAGTTATTGCGAGTGGCGTGAATCATTTATTACGAACAAAACTTTATTTGAAAGGCAAAGTTAAATAAAAATTTGAGAGCTTTGTCAACAATATCCAAGGCTTCAATCCCTGAAACCCACAGCTGACCGTTGAGAAGAACTGGCCTTCATCTACTGTTAGTTCATCCTAACGCTCCCCCTACTGGAGGCAACAGAGATTAACACACAATCAGCAGACAACAAACTACACGTACAGAAAAGAGTCGATTGAGATGTTTTATTCTGGGTTTTTCGGTTTAACTTTTAATTGTTCTGTGTTTGAAAGGCGTTCGAGGAAATGGAGACCCATAGGAGACAGAGCGGTGATCACAATGAGGCGATCTGAAAGGTCAGTGAAATACTTTTACCCAGAAATCACATCATGATGTATAATAATCAACAAACAACATCTGTAATTGAAATTATTTAAATATCACCAATAGAAACTAGGCCATATCCTTAACGTCAAGGCCTGCCTGAGGATGAAGGTATCAGAACCTTCTGCCTCCTTCCAAAACTTCCAACACTGCTCTCAAAGGAATAGTTCATCTAAAATAAAAACCGTCATCATTCACTCGCATTTAAAACCATAATGTTTTTCTTGTCTTCACAGATAACTATAAAGCCTTATATAATCCTTCTGTGAAAAAGCGGGACGTTCCCACCACAACAATTTGTTAACTTTTTCAAAAATTTTTTCAGATCGTTAGAAAGCATCGACAGCCAATCAGAATCCACCCAGCAGTTAAAGCGCGCGAACATTTAAGCGGCAGGAAAGGAAGCGCGCGCTTATAATAAACTGAACGTTATTGTCCGTTGGTGTGGACGCTAGTATAGTTATCGTTCTTGTGAACGGACCTTATTAGGGTCTGTTTTTAGCAAGCTGTTATATATCTTCAAAACAGAATATGGAGTCATATACACTTCTTGACAGACCCTGGTCAGCTGATTTAGACTTACAGAATATCATAAACGCTTGCAATGACATGAGGGTGAGTAAATATCGACAGAACTTTATTATTTTATTACTTTAAATTACAGGAGTGTGAATAACAAAACTCTTAAAATACTGTCTTGTACGTACCTGGTGCTTACAGTCGGTTTTAAAGGGGTCATATGATGCTGCTAAAAAGAACATTATTTTGTGTATTTGGTGTAATGAAATGTGTTTATGCGGTTTAAAGTTCAAAAAACACATTATTTTCCACATACTGAAGTTACGCCTTCTTTTTTTGCGTGAACATTTGGGCGGTGTTATGCAAATATTAGCACATAGTGAGGTAGGTATGTGGGGGCGTGTTAGAACGAGCCGTTTTAGGTAGGCGTGGTTAACTCTTAACTTTTATAAAGAATATCTCTTTGGTTTTGAGACTTTAGTGTTTGCAACTTTACAGATCTTCTTTATGCACCAAGAGCTTGTAACACTCCAAAGAGAAAGGAAAAAATGAAATCGCATCATATGACCCCTTTAAGGCAAACCTGGTTTTCGTTTAGCTCTTTCACTCGCAGAAACCTTTCCGGTCAGTACAACACATACACTCTGCCATTACATCTTTAAGTTCAGTTACTGGCTTTTGTTGATAATTTTGGCACAAAATCTCCAAATAGAAGGAAAACAAATAAAGAATTTGCCTCCGAACAGTGAAGACGTACGTCATAAACGATATTAAGGGGTAAACATGACAACACAACATACAGAGACACCATGTTCTGTGTAGAGACTATTCAGTTGTTCTCACAGTTTCATATTAAGAAGACACTGGACAGCAGTAGTGCTTTTTGGGGTCTTAAAATAAAGTACAGACTTAACGAAGATGGGGGCTCTCTTGCATATTAATGTCTGCAGAATAAACGCAGCATGCATCTTCACAAGCGCTCTTTAGCAAACACATTTTTTAATATATCTTTTATCATGTTGGAAGGTTTTATTTGGCACAGAGAGGGACAATTTGGCTTAGCGTGCAAAAGTCAACATGAAACGGTGTTTATAACCCATTTTACATTTACATTGTGATTGCAGCTTTTTGATTGTTTCCGGCCTAGATGACATAATCTGAAAACGAAAGTCGTTATTATATTATTATTATTATTAGTTATTATATTTCAATGAAAGATCCTAAACTGCAATGAAGAATTATTCACAAAAACGTGAATTAGGAACGTAAATAGGGTTGGTTTAATTCCATGCTGACTTTAGACTCATCATATGAGATGCATATAGGAGGGTTTGGCATCCAAATTGGACACAATTTGAGTGACAGCGAGATTAAACCCCCCCCCCC